CCCCCCCCCCTGCCCCCCCGCCTGTGCCCCCCCCCATGCAGCCGTAAGGGTGGGCGCAATGGTGGCCGCAATGGTGGGGTGAGGCGGGATGATGCCACGGGAGCCCACCTCAGTGGCCTCGGGCTCCGTCACTGAGTGCCTGTCGCATCCCTGCTGGGCACGTGCTAGCGTTCTGCAGGCCTGCGCCCGGCTTGGGGACAGGGACAGGGTGGTGGGCACAGGGTGATGCTTTTAGCCTGGCATTGCAGCCCCCCGCGCTCGGGGACGCGTGCCCGCAGGTGACATTTCGGCAAGGACCTGCTGCTGCAAATAAACTTTGCAGAGCGCTGTGGGCACGGAGGAGCTGCTCGGCCCCGTCCTGGGTTGGGGTTTCCAGCAGCGCTGTCGGCTCCTGTCGTGGCAGCTGGGCCGGTGCTGCCGGGGTGGGGGTACCTGCTGCTCTGCCCCCCTTTCCCAGGGGGACCTGCCTGCCTGCCCTGCCTGGGGGGTGGCAGCGCCCACCCTGCAGGGACTGCTGGGGTGCAGTGGGTGCTCCTGGGGGAGCAGGGTGCTCATTGCCTTTAATTTCCTTGTAGCAAAGTAACCAGCTCTTGCAGCGCCAGGCACAACATTTCCATGCCCTCTGCTCCCAAACACGCACGTTCCTTAGGCACAGAGCAAAAAAAACCCCAAAACTTCCAGCCTTCACTTTGAATTTCCTCCCTCCGGGTGGTTATCTCCATCTTCCATGAATTTCCACCTTATGTGTTTTTTTTCTTTTTTTTTTTTTTTCCCCCCAATCTGCCTAAATAAGATTTTAAAATAAGAGCTGATTCTGAGACTCATTTTGCTTGAAGCCCATCCGTGGTGGCCTTGCTCCCTCTGCTTGTACCGGGATGCCTGTACCGCTGGGAGCGGGGCCGGGGGCGCGCGGGCTGGCGTGGCGGGTGGCCGGAGCGGGTCTTGGCTCGGGGTGTTTCCCGGTGATGCTGGAGGTCTGATCCCTGTCCCGGCAGGTCGCGGCATGCTGGTTAAAATCGGCACAGATGGCTGCGGTTTAACTGCATCAGCTGGTTAAAATCCACACGGATGGTCAGGGTTTCTGCTTCTCGGTGCTGGTTTTGGGACTGAGCTCCCCAAATTGTCCTTTCCTGCTTGGCTCTGAGCAGCCCCTGCCAGCTCAGGCTCAGAGATGGGTCCTTGGGGACCCCCAGCTCTGCCTTTTGGGGTGCTCCCTGGACGCCGGGGCTCCCCACAGGGAGGGGTTTCCCAGCCCTGTGCGTCCTGCCCTTTCAGGGTTAGGGACCCATCCTGGCTCTGCAGGTGCTCAGGGCAGAGAGGTGACCCCAGCCTGGGACCACTGGGCTGGGAGCTGGCGATGGACCCCCCGCGGGTGCCACCCAGGTGGGTCTCGGAGGAGGGACCCCCTCTGAGCCGGCAGCGCTGCCTCGCCAGCCCCTGCCTGTCCCCGGGTCCCATCCTGGCTCACAGCCCCTTGCCTCGGCTCCACGGCATTTCCAGCCACGTTCTTCCCGCCGCAGCCCCTGGCGAGGGGGAGCCCCTGTAAGGTCATCACGCCGCTTGCCTAACAGTGCAATTAATGCTAATTAGCCAAAATGCCGTGACGTGGCTGGTGGGAGGCAGGCACAGAGATTAGAGCCTGATCCAGGTGTGGGCAGGGGGATGCTCTGGTTGGTGGCACGGGGGACCTGGGATTTCAGGGCAGGGCACCCGGAGGGAGCATCATGGTGGTTTCATCGCCTTCGCGCCTGCTCTGGGCCCGATTGGCGAGGGGAGGGGAGGGGGAGATGGGGGGATGCACCAAGGAGCCCTGTCAGCACCTCCCGGGGGGAAGGAGGAGAGGGGGTGAGTGGAGGGCAGCCTCGGGCAGGGGGAGCTGGCAGGGCTGTGGGTGGAAGGACGGAGCCTGGCAGGGCAGGCAGCAGCACTGCCCTCGGTGCGGAGGGGCTGGCGGGACCCCCAGCACTTGGCTCCATCAGGAACATCTCCTGTCCCCGTCCCCGATCTCACCTGCTCCGCTTCAGTCAGAGGGTGCTGAGTGCCGGGCTGCGATGGGCCGAGCATCCCCAGTTTTGGGATGCAGGAGCTTTGCTCAGGGGCTTCCCTCCTGCCTGTGCGGGCAGGGCAGGCAGGGCTGGCCGCTCCCCTGCCCACGGGCCACACGTTTGCTTGACTGTATGAACAGCCTTCGTCTCTTCTGGGGACTTGGGTGGCTGAGCTGGCACCACCAGCATCGCCTGGCTGGGGAAACTGAGGCACGGGGAGGCACTGGTGATGGGGCAGCATGTGCAGGCAGGGGCAGGCAGGGCCTGGGGGAGAGCTGCTACCTGCCGAGTAATCCCAGTGCTGGGAATTGCCTTCCCCTGGCGGTTACACTGAGTTGATGCCATTGGAGTGTGTGGGGTGGGTGATGCCGGTGGGTCCCCGTGGGCTGGGCTTGTATGGGTTTGTTGGGGTGTGCTCTGTCCTCTCCGCTGCAGCAAGCTGTCCCCTCCCGGCGTCACCCTGGCAGCTGAAAGCCAGGACACCTTGGTGATGGGCCACGGAGCTGCTGTCTTGGCCGCATGTCCCCAGTGTCCCCACTGCTGCTGTCCCCGCGGTGGCCGTGGTGTCCCTGCAGAGGCAGCGCAAGGGCAGACACTGTTGCAGGCAGGAAGCGGGGATGCGTTTTTGTGATGGGCGCTAACGAACCGGCCCTTCGTTAGTGCCGGGCAGCGTGGCCCGAGGCTCAGCACCCTCCCTGCCCGTCTCTTGCAGAACATCGTCTCCAAGCACAGCTCGCAGTTTCGGGGCAACGCGCAGCACGACGCCCTCGAGTTCCTGCTGTGGCTGCTGGACCGCATGCACGAGGACCTGGGTGCCGCCTCCCCTGCTCAGCAGGCCCGCGTCCCCGAGGAGGTGGGTGGCCCCCGCCGGGGTGACCGCGCACCCTGGCTTGGGGTGGGGATGTCCACGCCAGGTCTGGGACCAGGGAAGCCGAGGTGTCCTGGGAAGGATGGGCTGGGGTTGTCCCCCCCACCCCAGTACGGGTTGGGGATGCGGGTGATGGCCAGTGTGGTGGGGGAGGATGGTGGGGTCCGGGTGCTGCGGGGCTGGGCAGGGTGGTTGGGGTGCTAGGAGAGCGTGGGGGTGTCAGCAGGAGCCTGTCCAGCTGAGCACCCCAGTTCTGCTGGGCACCCTGGTTCCTGGGGTTGCTCGGTCAGGAGGAGATCCAGCCCCCCCCATCCCTCCCCACTTCCAGCTAAGCCCGCTGTAATTATAGCGCTCGGTGGCTTTACTGCTGGCAAAATGAGTAATTAAGTCTCCTTCCATCCATCTGCGCTCATGGCATCACCCTGGGCCTGCCTGCCTGCCTGCCTGCCGGGGTGCTGCCTGTTCCAGCGGATAGGTTTGCGCAGCCGGTGTTTGCCGCTCCGGCTCCGCTCAGCAGCGTGCTGTCCCCGCGGTGGGGGTGATGCCCGTCTTGGGCACGGGGGTCTCGGGAGCGGCTTCATCCTCCCTGTCCCCAGCCTGGGGCATCGCGGCTGTGGCTGAGGGGCTGGGGACCCCGCAGCAGCCCCAGCCTTGCATGGGCACAGCTCCATCCCGCGTGGGAGAGCTCGGCTGCGGTGCCCATCTCCAAAGCTTCTGGCTGGGGCAGCCCTGTGGCTTCCAGCTCTTCTTGGCTGGGGGGGCTGCAGCCATCCCTGCACCGAGCTGAGCCGTCCTCAGCCCTGCTCCGCTTTCCCCGGAGGCACTGAGGTACCCCAGGCTGTTTGGGAGAGCCTGGCAGTGGGCAGCTCCCCTTGCTGACTTGTTCAATGCAAGGTGCCAGCACGTTTTGTGGGCTGTGGCGTGACGCCGGCGGTGCCCTCAGCTGCCCGCGCTGGAGGCGGTGCCGTGGCAATGCCCAGGGGCTGCCACCTGAGTGGCCCCCACGGGCCCGTGTCCTTGGGGACGGGGTGCCCGGTGGGGCTGTGAGCCTGAGTGAACGGCTTTGAAGCGTCTGGATGGAGGTGGGCACGCACGCGCCCGTCCCCGTTTTGGGTAGGGCGGGCTGGAGGAGGAGGAGGAGGCTTTGTGCAGATACCGAAGGATGGGGATGGTTTGCTCCTGGTCAAGCCCGTGCCAAGGCTCGTGGACCGGGGGAGCTCAGCTGGTTGAAAGCAGAAGATGAGGAGGTCGGTGGTCCAGGGCACGGAGCTGGGCAGGCTGGAAGGGTGGGAGTACCGTCCTGGCTGTTCGATGGATGCCCAGGCGGTGTCTGCTGTGGCACCCAGGTGGAGCCCAAGGCTTGGCTGCCCAGAGGGCTGGAGGAGGAGGAGGAGGCATGCCCTTGGGTTTTGGGGGGATTCTGGGGGCCGCGTGGGGCACAGGCGCCATCCAGGTCCCCTCTCTGCCACACCAGATGGACCCTGGCCGCGGGCAGGCTGTAAGGACACGCCAGGCTCAGCAGGACCCAGTGCCAGCAGATGGCGTGAGGAAAATCCACCTCCTGGCCAAACACCTCATTGATTTTCTGTCTTGCTCATCATGACACTAAAAACTCCATTTCTTGCCCCGAAACAGCCCAGTCCTTTCCCAAACTATCAAGGCTCCTTTCTGCGATGTCTCTTCTGCCATCGGGCTCCGTGTGCCATAGCAGGGGGTGAAGCCGGTGGCTCCTGGCCCCTGTGCGTGGGGACGGGGGCTCCCCAGGGTTCCCAGGGCAGCGGGCAGGCAGGGAGGTGTCTCCTAACCAGGCAGGTTTGGCTGTGTAACGTGGTCGTGTCCCAACATCCCTGTTCCCTATGGAGCAGAGCAGAGGACCCGGCTCCTCTCGGGGTATCCTGGGTGCGGGGCACGTCTCACCTCCCCCAGCCGCTGCTGGCATCCCCTGAATTTGTCAAAGGCGGCTGCCTCCCCGGCCAGGCGTCCAGCCTTTCCTCGGGATGGAGGAAAGGATCGTGTACCGGCCCTGGGAGCAAGCGGCAGGGACGTGGGCGGCCCGCCAGCGCCATGCTCGGCGTCAGTCCCTGTCGAGAGCAGAGGCTGTGCCTCAGTTTCCCCATGCACCACGCAGCGGGGGTGGAGGGAGGGCTCCCTCGCGCAGGGCTCCTCGCCGACCCTGAGGCAGTGTGCGGCCTGTGGAAGAGCCGGTTTCTCTCGGGGAAGGGGGCCCAGTGTCGCTCCTGCTCTTGCTCAGGGATGTGCTGTGGGCTTGCCAGGGGGAATGGGTGCAGGCACCCAGCCGGGGAGCGTGGCTGGCTGCCGTGGCTCAGGGTGCCGGGAGCTGGTGCATCAGGCCTGGAGGCAGGTCTGGTATCTGCGGTGTGGGGAGAGAGGCAGTTGCCCCAGCATCCGGGGCCGAGCCGGGGGACACGGTGACATGGGGAGGTGGCCGAGGGATGGGTCATCGGCAGAGCCAGCGCTCCCCATGGCTGCCTCCCCTGCCCCTCGGGGGATGCTGGTGGGATGGCACTGCTCCCACCGCCTGCGCCGGACACGCGGCCCCGGAAAGCCCAGCTCTGGGGCAGCGAGTCGGGGTTCTGGGTGCTGTGCCTGGGCTTGGGGTGCTGTGCCGGGGTGCTGTGCCTGGGGCTCAGGGTGCCATGCTGGGGTGCCGTGCCTGGGTTCAGCATGCCAGGTGCTGTGCCAGGGTGCTGTGCCTGGGCTTGGTGTGCCGGGTGCTGTGCTGGGTGCCGTGCCTGGGCTTGCTGCTGGTAAGGGCGCTGGGGGAACACGCAGCGGCGGCGCTGGCAGCCCCGTGCTGGCACACCTGCCTGGGAGGGCATCCTGCCAGCCAGGGCTTTTTTTGGCTCCCTGGTTCTGGTGATTTGCATGTGGTTACTTCGCACCCGGCCGAGTCTGCCTCGGGCAGGTGCATGCACAGGAGCGTGCACACCCGCTCCAGGAGCTCTTCTCACAGACACATGGACACACGCAGACACACGGACACCTGCTCGCTGCAGCATCCCAGCCCGTCAACGCCCCAGCTCCCCGCAGCACGGCTGCTCCCAGCACCCATGGGTGCATTTGCTGGCACAGTGGGTGCCGGGGTGCTGCGGGTGCTTCCCTGCTGGGGCTGCCACCCCTGCAGGTGTGTGCCCGTGGGCGCTGGGGCTCTGGGGGGGGGATGTCGCAGGGGGGACCGGCTTTCCCCCCCAAAGCTTTCCCCTGCCAGAGGTGCCCATGTGATGGCATGGATGAGCCGTCCCAGCCGACTCCCCTGGGATTTCCCTCCTGGAGTATCTCAGCTGAGCTCGAACATGTTCCCAGCTCCAATTCCTTGGTGTCCAGAAGCTCCGGACACCGGGGCTGCATTGGGTGGCCCCTGGGGGTCTCGCTGCTGCAAACCCACGGCCAGGTGCTGGGGCAGGGGTTATCCCTTGGTGCCCCACGCTGGCTGGTGGATGGGACGTACCCCAAAATTCCCCCAGAAGAAGACACGCAGGGAGCCTGGAGGGCATGAGGCCGGGGGGTGCCGGGCAGGGGTCACTTTGGTGTCACCTTCAGCTCGTTTGTGCCATGGGGACACTGAATCTGGGCTTGGTTCACTGGGACGTGTCCCCAGCCACTCAGGGGTGGGGGGGTCACCGCGGCACCTCGCTCACCCCACTTGTCTCTTGTCCCCGCAGCCCAGTGAGGACAGGAGCGGCGGTGCCGGCAGCTCCCCACCAGCCGCCCAGCATCCCCGTGGGCAGAGCTTCGTGCAGAGCCACTTCCAGGCACAGTACAGGTGAGCGGAGAGGGCCAGATCCTGCCCGGCCACGGGCTTCATCCTCCTGCGAGCCCCGGGCAGCGTGGAGGGGCTTTGCTGGTGGGAGGCCGGACTCCGTGAGCCGAGGGAAGGGAGGAGCTGGGGAGCGCTCAGCCCTGCCGAGAGGCTCCATCCGTCCATCCATCCCCCCATCCATCCATCCATCCATCCCACCCAGCCCGGGCGCTGGAGCTGCTTCCCCTGTGGGCGGTGCAGCCACAGCTGAGGGCGAAGCGCTGAGCGAGGGGTTTAAGGACATTTCTTAGTCCACTTCAATGCCAGCAAATATTTTTGCAAGTGCCATAAAAGACACGGGGAGGGTTGGAGCCTGAATCCCCACGGCAGCGAGCGGGGAGTCCTGCCCGCTCTCCACCCCTGTCTGAGCCCCGGGCTCCCAGTGATTAGCTGGGAAGCTCCGGGAGCAACGAAATGAGGATGGAGCCGTGTTTTGGTTGCACGGTGCAGTGCTGGCAGCGTTGTCCGGGCTGTGCGGGTGCAGTGGGGCAGGGGTGATGGGCCGGGCAGCTCTTCCCAGAGGAGGCAAATTGGTTTTAGTGTGGACTGATCCAGAGCAGGGTCTGAACTGCGTCCCAGGGATGGGTTTTGGTGCAGGTGGATGCCTGGGAGTGGGGGCGCAGGGAGTGACATCAGCCACGTCCAGTGTCACCTCTTGGCATGGACACGGACATGGGCAGACCCCAGCCTTGCCCCTGCTTCCACCCGCCGCGCCCCTTCCCTGGGCATTTCGTACCCCCTGCCTTTGGAGGCCCCACCGCCCGCCTCGCCTTGGCCCTAACGAACCCTTAAGTGGTTCCCTTTGTTATCACTGCCCCAGGGTGGGGAGGGCCACCAGGAGATGGCTTTTGCTGGGACAGCGGCTTTTGAGCCATGATAGCAGTTCGCTGGCAAAAGCAAGGCGGCTGCTGAGCCGGCAGGGCTGGGAGGGCTCAGCCTGGGGCAACGGGCAGGGCTGCAGGCAGGGGTTGGGCAGGGGATGCCCTGGTTGTCCTCTGTTGGTGCTGCTGGGTTGGTGGTGGTGGCTGGTGGAGCAACCCAGTAAGGCATGGTGTCCCTCAAAGGTCCATACTGGGACCAGTGCAATTTAATTCCAGTGTTGGGCCCCTCACCCCAAGGCGGCCATGGAGGGGCTGGAGCGTGGCCAGAGCAGGGCAGCGAGGCTGGGGCAGGGGCTGGAGCCCAAGGCTGGGGAGGAGCGGCTGGGGGAGCTGGGGGGGCTCAGCCTGGAGAAGAGGAGGCTGAGGGGAG